AAAAAATAAAAATGAGGTGATGTGTTGTGTTCTTTTTCGAGGTCCTGTTTTATACAAACAGAAAATAATATATCATATGACAACAAACAAAACAAATATATGACTATGAGCGATACCGCAAGTCTCGCAGTCAGTCGCGTTTCCCCCTGTGCTTTGAATGTCAAAGCCTCGGGAATTTCAGTGACTGCATTCTTCCAGATATCGCTGTATTTTCAGACCCTTTTCCTTTGACTCTACAAAGCAGCTGAGAGAAGAGGAGGAGGAGAAATATGGGGGTGACTGGGGTGGTTTGGGGGAGGCCGGGGCTGATGAACACTTCATCGGTTCTGGTTGTGCATGTTTTCAGCTTCCTGTTTACTTGCAAAAGATTGAAATGATCTAGTGGTCTACAGTCGTTGTCCATCAGCAACGGTGGCTAAAAGCAGCAATATGTATTTTATGTTTCCTTGTTTTACGTGCTGTGTTTTTTTTTCCTGTTTCTTTCTTCTCTTTGTTCTTTTTCACTCATTGAATGTTTGTTAGCGGCGGAGTGAGCGGGGGCTCCTCCTGTGACTGGAACGACACGTGCGCCCAGACAGATGATGTCACAGAGGATGCAGGCGCTCGGCCCTGTGTGAACTCATGGATATGTCAGTTGTGTTTGTCATGCCACGGACAGAACAGAAGCTAAAGGAGCCCCGGTTTCACTTTGAGGTTTAGGGTTAACTTTGGGCTCAGGTTTTTAAAGGCTGGTGGCGAATGGTTAAAAAGGCTCTAAACTCCGAGGTATCCAAAACCACTGAGCTCGGAGTGAAACCTGCTCTGGGATTTACATATTCTACCAGATTACGACCTACAGTCATAAATCCATAGGCCATCCACGTCAGCATCCCTACGACACAATCTAGTTCAAGTCCTACTTGATTATTAAGCCACTAACAGCCGTCTATAGATATTTCCCATCCACAGTTCTGATCCCACTATACTATCTCAAGTACATGTAAAGGTAAAGACTGGATATGACAGAGAAAGCATAAGGGAAAAAGCTAATACTTCATCCATTTGTTTGATCAAAAAAAATGCAAGATACACACAAATGTAAACCTGCCAGACATCAAAAACATCATCACTTAGTTTTAATACATCTACCTAAAATACACCTTACTGAGATAAAAGCAATTATAATATTCATTTTTGAGATATTTCGTACACTGCAATAACATTCTTTACCACATTTGTCCTCATCTGTCACTGTTATTCTTGTTCTTTGCCATTCACATATGTCAGGGTTCACCATTAATATGATGATGCATCTTTTTTGAAAGACTGCATAAAGATGTGTCTGTGTTATATTCCAAAAATATAGCCTATGTTTTAGATATGTCAGGCAGCAGAGTGCCGGCTGCAGTATGTCGCTATCGAAGGAACTTTAAAAAAAGATAACTGTTATGGGGAAGACGGGTGAAGGAAGAAGAGTCCTCACAAAAGAAACCAGGTGGATTCTGGGACTTTTGAGCAACCACGAGTCTTAGGCAGTGAAAACCTCTGGAAGTCACAAGTGAGGAGACTAAAGGTTTCCTGGGGAGATTCCTAAAGGTGAAGTGCCGTCTGCTAGAAAAAAGTGCTTCTCTTGAGGAAAAGTTTAAAAAAAAAAAAAAAAAAGCCAGCATGATGATACAACTTATTCAACCAACTCACACACTTCTACCTTTCTTCCTGTTTTTTTGTTTTTTCTCTCGTTTAAAAGTGTGTGTGACTGGTCTCTGTGTTTGGCAGCAAGCAGAGGAGGCAGGACCTCGGGTTTTCATTGAGTGAACTATTTCCATTAAAACTGACCTGACTCTGGGAGCACATCAGTTGTTCAAAAAACTGGGTCTTCCATCAGACTGTTGCTTTAATCTCGTGTGAAGAGCACTTTTTTAGAGGCAGGGCTCACTTTTGTGGCTCGAGCCTGGTGGTTTTAAGAGGAGGATTTTCGAGCTAAGATTAAATCGTTCACTGGATTTCTATCTCACTTCATTCCTTCACTGATCTCTCTCCTCTCTGTACTCGTCATGACAGTGGGTGGTTCAAAAGTCAAGATGAGACACATTCTACAATGTTCTTACATTTGGAAAAGAAAAATAAAGTAAAACAAAATATCCACTTCAAACTATATTTTTTTCTGGGTCACAACAAGACAGACAATCTTCACTAAAAAATATCTTTGACTTTTTTTAATTATTACATGATAAAGTATGCAGTACCGTGCCTTTTGGCCTACTGATCCTGCCCTCTATACTACTAAATAGGGGATGGAAGGGGGATAAAAGTTGAGGTAAATGGAAATTTAAAAAAGAAGGGTTAATACGTCGTTATAACTATAGGATAAGGGGAGAAAAGCCCAAATAAAAGCTGCTTTATCTTCTTTTCTCACCTTTTAATTTTTTGCTCAAAGGGGTTTAACTTCCTTTTAAGGCTCAATCAAAAGCTTTTGTGCACTTTCATTTAAGGCTTCTAAGTGTTCATTTGCTTGTTTATTAATTCAAATTCTCCAACTTTTCAATCAGGCTTTGTGAAGCGCCACACCTGAAGTATCCATGCTGAGCTGAGCTGAGCTGAGGAAGGCACGGAGGCCGCCATGGCTGCGCAGGGCTGAGCCGAGGGCCGGCTCTCTCTCACTGGAAAGCCTGGTGGAAGCGAGGCAGTGTGGTGGTACTAAGGCTGGAGCTGAACATTGGGGGGAGGGGGTGCATGGGTCCGAGGCCCAGACCCCCACTGGAGCTCTGCTGCTCCTGAGGTTGCGGTTGCAAAGAGGTAAGAGGTGCCGTGGCGATGGCAGCTGCATGGGGCTCGGCAGCGTGCAGAGATGAGGAGGAGGAGCAGGAAGAAGAGGAGGAGGTTGCAGATGAGGTGTAGCCCATCACCAGCCCTCCTGTGTTCATGGGGGTGCTGTAGGGGGGCAGGTTGAGGGGCAGGAACCCCAGCAGATGGGAGAAGTCCATGTTAGCAGCACACAGAGACTCAGCGATCACCGCAGGGCTCTTGGACAGGAGGGGATCCCCGCAAAGCTCATCCGTCAGGCCCGAGGTGGGCTCCAGTCCGTCCTTGGGGGGCGAGGCAGCAGCGTGGGGCTCTGGACATGGCAAGCCACTCTGCAGATCCATGAGGAAGCTTTCCATCTCCACTTTCAAGGGCTTGTCCAGCAGGTATGAGGTAGATCCCAGCTGGTATTTGGGGGCTGGCTGGGGCTGGTGCTGCTGCTGGGGAGCCGGAGGCTGGTGGTGGGTAGGCAGTGGAGGGGAATGGTGGTGGTGGTGATGGTGGTGATGATGGTGGTGGTGATGGGAGAGTGGGTGAAGAGGTCCAGGGGATTCCATGTGGCAGCCCATGCCCATAGCTGCAGACAAGGAGCTGGGCATTAGGGACGGGTGTGGGTGACCCACCCCCGTATTAGACATTGCCTGGAGATGGTGGGGGTTGTACATGCCCATTGGAAAAGGGGCTCCACTGGGAAAAGGTTTGCCCATCATTGGATCTTTGTTGGGACCCATGCCGCACATCATTGGACTGAGCTCCTCCTTCACAGAGCAGGGCGGGGATCCGGAAGCTAAAAGACCTAACATATCTGGTGGCTCTGTCTTGATCTTCAGCAGCTCCTGCGAGTGGCTCTTCTTCACGTGGCGTGTCAGGTGGTCCTTCCTGCCAAAGCGCTGGGCACAGTACTGACACAGGAAGTCCTTACGGCCTGTGTGGACCACCATGTGCCGCCTTACATCCTTCCTTGTGTAGAAGCGACGGTCACAGTGGTCACATGGATGTTTTTTCTCCTTGGTGCCACCTGACGACTTCCCGGAGTGGCTCTTGAGGTGCTCCAGGAGAACAGGCGTACTCTCGTAGCTCTGCATGCACACTTTGCAGGTGAGATCCCCTGCCGTGGCAGAGTGCATGGCCATATGACGCTTGTATCCCAGCTTGGTGTTGTAGTGCTTCCCACACTCCTCACACTTGAAGGCCTCCTTGTTGGGGTCATGGGTCTGCAGGTGGTTTTTAAGGTGGTCTTTGCGGTGAAACATTTTCTCACAGAATGAGCACTGATGGGTCTTCTGTGGAGAGTGTGTGGCCATATGCCTGCAAAGGAGCAAAACAGAGACTGAATAATAAAGAAGCTTAGGACATGTAGCATTCCTTAATGTTTCTATTACTACTTCAGTCAAACCACTTGTGTGCATATATCAAAGAGTTGCAATGTTTCATAGTCAGGACCCAAAATTGACAGAAGCTTAGTTATGCAACAAAACGTACAGATCAGTATGGGCATGTTGTTTGTGTTGCACCTGATGGATATAAGTCCAATAGTCACCTTCCTTCCAAGTTTGTCATTGGTCTCCACCAGCTGCTAAGGGAAATATCTGGCTCTGAATGCTGCACTGTGTTCACTAGATTGTTGCTAACTGTTACTTTGGACCAGAGCCTTTTCCCTGAAAATGGTGCCAATGATGCTAACGATGTTGTGGTTTGTGAAGCGCTGTGCTGAAGACGCTATGGCTGTTTTCAGACATGACCTCACAATCGGTTCTGGACTTTCTCCAGTTTGACTTTGACACATGAACAACACAGCAGGAGATCCAGACAACAACACAGACATTTCAAAGTGTCCAGGTGAGGGGTGGCGCAACCTGCAGGAGGCAGGATGTAATGTATCAATTCCGCTGTGGAGAGCAAGTGTTTATCGTTGACACTGGTGTCGGCCCTTCTCACCAAAAACTCTTTTCAGACAACAATGTCTTCTAAGTGTGTATGGCACTGCCTTTTCATCCGGAGATTTCTGTATTCTTTTAGGGTTATTTTGTTGTGTGTCAACAAACCCAATCGCTCGCAATAAATCCTGCTAAGGGTCTCCTGCTGTGTTCACACATGGGCTCAGTCGGACATTATCCAGTCTTTTGGCTCGGGGGCTGGCTGGACAAACTCTGGAGACCGGCCAATGTCCGTAGATTATCGGGAGTTCGGTGCATGTCTGAAAACATCTTAACAGTATTGAGGAGAACTGCAGTGTGGTTTCTGAGGCTTTGTTACTATCATCAATCCCTTTCCCATATTAATCCAGTGTTAGTAAAAACATGCTTCTATTGCTTTTTTAAAGACAGACTTGATTATTGGTTTCTGGAGACTAATTTTTTAGGTTAACTCATAGAAATTATGATTATTTCCTTTCTGAAGGGGCTAAATGTGGCTTCTGAGAAAGCTGAAAATCTTTGCACCACACTGTATTTAAAAGGATGTGACCTGAGCAATGTGACGGAGGCTTTATACCTGAAGAGTTTGTATTTGGAGCTGAAGGCCTTGGGACAGTGTGGATGCGAGCAGTGGAAGGGTTTCTCTCCCGTGTGACTCAGGGCGTGGACCCGCAGCTTCTCCTCTGAGGCGAACAGAGCCCCGCACACCAAACACTCGTTCCCACTTGCTCTCCCTATCTCTTCGCCCTCTCCTCCCCTCTCCCTCTCTTTCCCCCTCTCTCGCTCTCGCTCTCTCTCTGTCCGTGGCAGCGGGGCGGCGCTCCCAAACAGTTTGACGGCAGTCCGTCGTCCCTCTTCCTCCGGCGTCAGTGCGGTAATACGGTGTGAGGCATCGGCGGCAGCAGCTGCCATGGCAGCCCTAGAGTGCCGCTGCCATGAAAACTCAATTGTGGCTCCCCTGCCTCGCAGGCTC